TTCCAACAATGTGGCCAGCCCACCAGAGTTGTGCTCTCTGAAGCAGAGTTTCGATGCTTGGAAGTTTAGCTTAAGAAAGGACCTCAGTGTCTGGTATCTTATCGTGCCAGGTGGTTTTCAAAATCTTCCTAATTCAAATGGAAGCGATTAAATTTCCAGGCATGGCGCTGGTATACTGTCCAGGTTTCACAGGCATACAACAATGAAGTCAGCACGATGGCTCTATAGACCTTCAGGTTGGTAGTCAGTCTAATACTTCTTCTCTCTCATACTTAAGTACACAAAATACAAAGGTAAATGACCATAATAATCCAGTGGTTCAAAAACCCAAGGATCCAAGCTTTGGGGGCAAGAACTCACCATTTGATAAAAACTCCTGGAAAAACTGTAAAGTAGTCTCACAAAAATTAGGAGTAGACCAACATCTCATAAGGTATACCAACATAAGTCAAAATGCATACATGATTTAAACGTGAAGGATGATAGTATGAGCAAAGTACGAAGAATTCACCTGTCATATTTATGGATAAGGGAAGAATTTATAACCAAACAAGAGACACAGATGATCATTTGGCAGTTACAAGCACAGGGGACTGTTGTCATGCCAAGCTCACGGCACAGCTTGCTTGCTGAGCCTTAGCTCTGGAAAACAGGGGGTCTCCTAATAGTATCCTGACATCCCTTTTATTAATTACCCTCTAGAATAATTAATAAAATGATGAATTATCCAGAAACTGTCTCTCAAACTTTTTATAGGTCACATTTTGGCGATCCATGGAAGGGACCAGAGCTCTGCACCCCAGATTCTTAACATAAAACTCCCCTATATCTTTTGGACCCAGGTGGAGAATTTCTCCACAAGGGGAAGATTTTTGGGGTATTGTGGTTGTGATCTGACTCTCTTTTTTTTTTTTTACCAGTAATTAGATTTTCTCTAAGTGAGCTTATATGTTCTATGTCTATTTGTTTTTGCACTACAGCTCTCTGAATTTTCAGTCTCAACAGCAGAGGAATCGACAATAGAATAAAGGTCTTTTGGCAAGACTCCCCAAATCAGGCTTACAGGGATATATTGAGGGGCACACAAGTTGTGGGAAACCTCTGCTGAAGAGGGCTTTGAGAGAAGCTGTTTTTTGGAAGGAGGGTGTGATCAGGCCTTGACCAATGTGAAAATGTGCTTAATATGAATGTAAAAGTAAAGCCTACATCAGATTACATGTCATCTTAGGGAGGGAGAGGCAAGGGAGGGGGAGAAAATTTAAAACTCAAAATCTTATGGAAATGAATGTTGAAAACTAAAGAGGAATAATTTAAGAAAAAATATTGTACTAGAAATGTTAGCTTTAGCAATAAGAAAAAGAAACTGAAAGAATTTGAGTAGGCAATGAAGAAACAAAGCTGTCATTCTTTAAAATTTTACTTTTTTCAAGATATTAGGAGACCATCTGTTTTCCAGAGCTAAGGCCCAGCAAGCAAGCATGACCCTGAGCTTGGCATAACAACAATCCTTTGTGCTCACCCTCTGGATGATCTCACCCTCTGTCAAAATCCCATAATGATTGTATTACTTTGACTAGCACCAGGTGTTCAGACAAGCACCGGACAAGCTCAGACAAGTACCCATGAAGCCCTCGTATGAATCAAACTTGTCTCATTATTGCCATTGCCCCTCATTGTCAGGGCTACAGCTCACTGGTTAGCCATTGGTATAAGAATTGAGATCTCTGGGACAGCTAGGTGGCACAGTGGATAGAGCACCAGCCCTGGAGTCGGAAGGACTTGAGCTCAAATCCTGTCTCAAACTAGACACTTGACACTTACTAGTTGTGTGACCCTGGGCAAGTCACTTAACCCCAACTGCCTTGCAAAAAAAAAAAAAAATTGAGATCTCCCCACACTGCCTCGTGTGCTCCCACTAGGGGTAGGGCCCCAATACATATGTCTCATTCCCTCCTTGCTTGCAAGCCATTTCCCTCACCTTAAAATTAATCTTCTGTTTGATTCCTGACTCTCCTGCCTGTAGCCTACTCTGTTTGACTCTGGCCATTCACAGGTTAAAGTTTGGTTTGGTATAGTTGACACTTTTATTTTAGCAATTATTTTTCCTTCTCCCTCACTGAACAAAAAAAAAAATACAATCTTCATATCATACATACTCTTACAAAATAAATTTCCACATTGGTCACACCCAAAAATCTAAGTCTCATTCTGTATTTTAAATACATCACCTCTGCAGAAAGAGATGAGTACCATACTTATCTTCAGTCCTCTTGAATCATAATTTGCCTCCACACAGGTCCAGACCAAAACATACACACAAGCAGTCTTTCTCCTTTCCAACACATTCTTTATACAATTAACTAATTGATATTCTTAAACCCTAGATCAGACCATGTCATTCTGTTCCATGGATTCAGTAGCTTTCTTACTGACTCTAGGATAAAACACTAATTCCTTGGTTAAAGCCCATTAGGGTGTGACTCAAGGCTATCTTTACAAGCTGATTACACACTGCTTGCCCTGCAGAAACATGGGAAGATGTCTCAAAACCAATGAAGAGGGGCTGGAAGAGAGCAGCAGCTCCAGAAACTGAGACTGCTGGAACACCTGTGGTTGAGAGGATGGGAGTGCTGGAACAATGAGTTTGTAAGTAGTGATTTCTAGATCATTGTCAACTCTCTGAGACAGAAAAGACCAGGTGACTCTCTTCCAGGATTGGTCAAGTAGTTGCACAGCCAACTTCTGACTGTGTGCATTAGTCATTCACCAAACCTTCTTGGGCCCTAGAGTCCAAGCTTGGACCTCCACAAATTGACCATTTGCCTTTGCATACATCTGGCTAGAACTGGCAAAGAGATTATTGGAGATCAGGCAGGAAGGCAGAAATCTTAGGCTTTTCCTTTCTGTTGCAGAAAGACCCAAGTCTAGGAGTTCAATAATCTAGTCTATGTTATAGGTGATTCCAAATCTTTTTATTTTTATCATTTAAATAAAAAAAATTATGTTGAACATTCTTTTTAACATTTTGAGTTAGAAAATTTTCTTTTCAGGCCTTTCCCACCCATTGATAAGGTAAGAAACATATCAATTATACATGTGAAATCTTACCCAAAAAAAAAAGTCAATACTAACCATGTAGCAAATAAAGAAAAATACAGAAAATGAAAAACACTATGTACTTCAATTTACATTGAGTTCATCAGTTTGCTCTCTGGAGGTGGACAGTGTGTTTCATCATGAGTGCTTTGGAATTATCTTCATTAAAGTAGCTAAGTCTTTGACAGTTGATCATCATTGCAATGTTGCTGTTCCTGTGTACAATGACCATATGGTTCTGCTCACTTCACTCTATATCAATCCATATGGGTCTTCACAGGTTTTTCTGAAACCATCACACTCATGTTGTTGTTGTTTGGTAGTTCTATGATTGCGGAACTCTTCATGACCTCATTGTGGGGGTTTTCTGGGCAAAGATAATGGTGTGATTTTGCCATTTCCCTCTCCAGCACATTAAAGCAAGAAGAGCTTAAGTGACTTGCCCAGAGTCACAGAGCTAATAGGTGTCTTTGGCCCCATATGAACTCAGGTTTTACTCACTTCAAGCACAATGCTCTACCCTCCAAGCCATCTAGCTAGTATCTATCATTTCTTACAGCAAAATAGTATTCCAAAACAACCATAAACCACAATTTGTCTAGCCATTCCCTAAATGATGAGAATCCCCTCTGCTGCCACAAAAAGAGCCGCTATATTTTTGTACATATAGGTACTTTTCCTTTTTCTTTGATCTCCTTGGCATACAGAACAAGTAGTGCTATAGCTCGCTAAAAGGGAATGCGGTTTTATAGCCCTTTGGGCATAGTTCCAAATTGTTCACAATAATTGGAACAGTTGCACTATACATTAATGTCTCTGTTTTTCCATAACTCTCCAGAATTGGTCATTTTCCTTATCTATGATATTCCCTGATCTAGTAAGTCTGAAGTGGTATCTTAGAGTTGTTTTATTTGCATTTCTCTAATCAATAGTGATTTAGAGTATTTTTTCCTATGACAATTGTTAGCTTTGATTTCTTCTGAAAACTCCCTGTTCATATCCTTTGACCAGAATCAGAATCCCTTTCTACTTTTCATATGTCACTAATTAGTTACTGTGCATCACTACTATGTAAATACTACTAAGTGTTTATCAGCACTTCACTGAATTCCTTCACTTTGATATTCAGAACAACGGACAGAAATCACATAGCATCAATATCTGATGATGCTTACTTGGCCAGAGATGCTTACTTGGCTTTTAAAAAATTAATGTGATTCCAAATCTGTATAGTTCAGTGGCTATCCTGATGAATATGAGCAGAAGCAGCACCAGCAACATGAGGAACACAGCTCAGATTATGATATATTCCTCAAGCACAGTCAACAACTTATCATACATCAGGCTCATGTGATGGCCAAGAGGTCTTCCATATGCCTCTTGCAAGCCATCTGTCCAGGGATCAAAGTTAATATCAAGGCTCTCGACAAAACACCACCCACTCAGTACCCTCTGGCTCAACCACCAAATCTTCTCCATATCAGAAGGTCCATGAGAGAATAACATTAATCTCTCTTCCTTTAGAAAGCTCTGCAGAGGAAAGGGGTATCTCCTTTCATGGGGGCTAAATAAGGACTCAGAATCAGTCTAGATAGCTATCTGATCCTCCCACACACCTTACATTCATAAAGGTTCTACAGAGTATGAATTCTCTGATAGACATCAGAGAAGTGTCCTCAGTCAAAATGCCTTCCTACATGCATTACTTAATACATAAGGTTTCACTCCAGAATAGATTCTTTGATATTAAATAAGTTGTGTCCTCATTCTGAAGATCTTTCACATTCATCACATTCATAAGAGCTCTCTCCAATATCAATGCTCTAATGTTGAGTAAGTTCTAAAGTCAGGAAGAAGGCATGCCCACATAAACAACATTCATACAGTTTCTCTTCAGTATGAATACTGTGATGTCCAGTAAGTTCTGAGTTGTAGTTGAAGGCCTTCCCACACTCCTTATATTCATAAAGAATCTTCCCAGGATGAATTTTCAATGCACAGTAAATTGTGTCTTCCTCCTGAAGGTCTTCCCATATTCACTACATTCATAAGTTTTTTTTCCAGTACAAATGCTCTGATGTACAATAAATTGTAGCTTATTTCTGAAGGAGGTCCTCAGCAGAATGAATTTTGTGATGTTCAATAAAATCTAAGTTGTGATATTCTTCCCACTCTTTACATTCATGAGGAATATCTCAAGTATGAATTCCCTTATGGACAGAAATTTGTATATTCTGTATAAAAGCCTTCCAACATTCACTGCATTCATAAAGTCTCTCTCAAGTATGAATTCTCTGATGCACAGTAAGCTGTCTCTTAAACCTGAAGGCCATCCTGCACTCACTACATTCATAAGGTGTCTCTCCAGTATGAATTCTCTGATGCACAGTCAGATTTGACTTCCTATTGAAAATCTTCCCACATACACTACATTCATAAGGTTTCTCTCCAGTATGGATGCTCTGATGCATAGTAATATGTGCCTTAATCCTGAAGGCTTTTCCACATTTACTACATTCATAAGGTTTCTCTCCAGTATGAATTCTCTGATGCATAGTAAGACGTGGCTTCCTCCTGAAGGCCTTCCCACATATGTTACATTCATAAGGTTTCTCTCCAGTATGAATGCTCTGATGAACAGTAAGTTGTGTCTTACACCTGAATGCCTTCCTACATTCACTACATTCATAAGGTTTCTCTCCAGTATGAATGCTCTGATGCACAGTAAGTGTTCTCTTATTCATGAAGGCCTTCCCACATTCACTACATTCATAAGGTCTAGCTCCAGCATGAATTCTTTGATGCCGAATAAGTTCTGAATTGTACTGGCAAGCCTTCCCACACTCTTTACATTCATATAGAATCTTTCCAGGATGAACTCTCTGATGTACATTAAGTTGTGTTTTACTCCTGAAGACCTTCTTACATTCACTACATTCATAAGGTTTCTCTCCAGTATGAATTCTTTGATGTAGAATAAATACTGAGTTGTAGAAGAAAGCCTTCCCACACTCCTTACATTCATAAAGACTCTCTCCAGTATGAATTCTCTGATGCACAGTATGCTCTGTTTTACGCCTGAAGGTCATCCCACATTCACTACATTCAAAAGGTTTCTCTCCAGTATGAACTCTCTGATGCGCAGTAAGATATGACTTCATCCTGAAGGTCTTCCCACATATACTACACTCATAAGGTTTCTCTCCCTGATGATTTCTTTGATGTTTTCTAAGATCTGCCTTGTGATGGAAAGCATTCCCACACTCCTTACATTCATAAACACTCTCTCCAGTATGAATTCTCTGATGCACAGTAAGATTTGACTTCCTATTGTAGGTCTTCCCACATATACTGCATTCATAAGGTATCTCTCCAGTATGAATTCTCTGATGTATAGCAAGCTGTGTCTTAAGCCTAAAGGCCATCCCACATTCATTACATTCATAAGGTTTCTCTCCAGTATGAATTCTCTGATGTTTATTAAGAGTTGACTTCCTCTTGAAGGCCTTTCCACATGCACTACAATCATAAGGTTTCTCTCCAGTATGAATTCTCTGATGCATATTAAGATTTCCCTTCCTCCTGAAGGCCTTCCCACATTTACTACATTCATAAGGTTTCTCTCCAGAATGAATTCTTTGATGTTTAATAAGGTGTGAGTTGTAGAAGAAAGCTTTTCCACACTCCTTACATTCATAAGGTTTCTCTCCAGTATGAATTCTCTGATGCATGGCAAGTTGTGTTTTACTCCTGAAAGCATTCCCACACTCACTACATTCACATAGTTCCTCTCCCATATGATTTCTTTGATGTTGTATAAGTTCTGAATTGTAGTAGAAAGCCTTCCCACACTGTTTACATACATAAAGAATCTTTCCAGGATGAACTTTCAGATGCACAGTAAGCTGTGTCTTACGCCTGAAGGCCATCTTACATTCACTACATTCATAAGGTTTCTCTCCAGTATGAATTCTCTGATGCACGGTAAGATTTGCCTTCCTCCGGAAGGCTTTACCACATACGCTACATTCATAAGGTTTCTCTCCTGTATGAATTCTCAGGTGTAGACGAAGTTCTGAGTTGTAGATGAAAGCCTTCCCACACTCCTTACATTCATGAAGACTCTTTCCAGTATGAATGCTCTGATGCCTAATAAGTTGTGTCTTACTCCTGAAGGCCTTCCCACATTCACCACATTCATAAGATTTCTCTTCAGTAAATCCTTTGCTCCCTGAAAGGAAGAATAAAGACCTGATTAACCCTTCCTTTTCTTCCATTTCCAAAGACTCCTACTTCCTCAAAAGTTTTAAGATATTCTCTTGTGTTCTCACTTGAGAAGACTAGTCTTACTACTCTTTAAGGATCACGGTTTATCTTATGTGAAAATATGATGACTCAAAATTAACAAATAAACGAACTGACTTGGAATGAAACTGCCTGGAAAGGATGAATTAGATGAATTTACTTGACTGTAAATGGTTGACATTTGAATGGCATAAGGAAATGAAAGACTACATATTTCACCGCATAACTGTTGCAGATTTTATGCCAAAATTTTTTTTGCAAAAAAGTGGGGTGTGACCATTATGTGAAGCTTTTTTTAAAAAAAAAATCTGTGCCGATATTAATTAAAACTCCCTTATTACTACACTGTATCAATGACAGACAAACACACAGTTTAGATAATAAGGGAAGATGTAAGTCTTACCATATCACGTGACTTACTCACGGCAGCTTCACCTGCTCACCTTGCACCTACGACTCTTCCTTGGGTTGAGTGACGATACCATTAGTACTGCTGTGCTCTAAATAAACCACACAAATTGGCTTTGGGAAATATACTGACAATGCATTGCACTGAGAATTCTAGGCTCTTGGCTCCCAATGCTCAAGAGATAAACGGATATCCATAGGCCACTGGTGGATAAATTCCTGCTCTGTTTACCTTTTAAGCAGCAAGATGAACAGAATTATACCATGTGATAATTACACAATGAAAGGTTATAAACTAATTTTTGGACTGAAAAAAAAAAAAACCAGGGTACGATGACTATGTGGGGAAACACAGTATCCTTAAAAATTAGATGACTTTGAAAGGTTGCAAAAGTAGCCTTAGAGCAACTAGGTGGCACAGTGGATAGCCTGCTGTGCCTAGTGTCAGAAAGATTAATCTTTCTGAGATCATATCAAGACTCAAAATACTAGCTGTGTGACCCTAGGCAGGTCATTTTACCATGTTTGCCTCAGTTTCCTTACCTGTACAGTGACTTAGAGAAGGAAAACACAAACCACTCCATTATCTTTGCCAAGAAAAACCCAATTTAGGTCATAAACAGTTGGACATGACCAAAACATGACTGAGTAAGAAAAAAAAAATGTATCCTTAAATTTAAAGTGAAAATAGAAAAGGAAAACACTGAATGGAAAGAAAAAGGAGAATTAATGAGCTTAGCATAAGGAAAGACAGAAAGAGACATGGAATAAATAGTAAAAAGAAAAAATATGAGGCAAAGGGTCTTTTGGACAATTGTTGCCATAAATGTCCACTAAAAATCCAACATATCTACGTTGTAAGGAACTGATGAAATTTGTAAGAGTAAGATCCAATTCCAAAAAGGATCAAGACATTTTTCACAAGACAAAATACCAACAACTACCAGAAACAATACTGAAACTCTGGTAATCAAAGAAATAAAACACAGAACAATTTGGAGGTATCACCCAAACAGTCATCAGATAAAAAAAGATATTTTAAAATGATAACAAATTTTGGAAGTTATGCTGAAATAGACACGTATTAAGCCGCTCATGCCATTTTTCTAAAAAATTACAAAGCAATTTAAGCTTTAGCTACAAAACTTCATAACCTTTGACCCAATGGTCCCATTACTAGGTCTACATCCTCAAAATGTTCCTGAAAGCAAATAAAGACACTTCTCAAAAATATTCACCACAGCTTTCTGTGAGACAGCAAAATACTCAAAACCTATAGGTCCAATGATTGCCTTATGGTTAAACAAATCATGTCAGAGGAATATATTATTCTGCCTTGATAAACTTAATTTCAAAGCATAAAGAAAAACAGGATAACATATAATATGATAGACTGATATAAGAGGAATTAGGTTAAGATTAAATATTTTAAAAAGTAACAGCAGCAAAGAAACGTTTAAGCATCAAGCAACAGAGAAGAAATATCAGAAGAGAACACAAAAGCCAAAAGGGAATATTGTTAATAGATCAAATGATGTGCTTATTTTAAGAGGGAGAATGAATTCATGCAACTGAGGCAAGAGAATGCTTGCTTAAAATAGGATGATCTTCAATGAACAGGACAAAAATACCTACCCCACACTGAGGCAACCACTTGCTTTGAAAGTGGAGGTACATGTGAGTAAAGAGATGCACAAAAAAGTAACTTCTTGAGTTAAAAAAAGACATTTTAAAGTCTCAGCTCTTCTCAGCAGGCCTGAGAAGCTTTCATAAGACCACCTTGTTCAACATTTTATAAGCGTTTTGACCTACAATAACCAACAGAGTAGTATTTTCCAGTGACCCATTTCACTGGTTTTTATGGAGTCACCTGGACAGCTGCTTCTTGGAATATCTGCCTCTGGTATCCAAGATGTTTCCTTTCTTTCCAATTGGTAGATCACATCTGGTTTGGAAACTGCAAACCCTGTTTGTTGGAAATGAAAAAGTGACAGGCACACTCATCTCACAATTCAATCATAGAGCAGACATATTAAACACTCCCCTCAACTCTTAATAGAAAAGTGGGGGAATAAAGGCACAAATTTTATCTTCTACCACCCAAGGCACTGTCTATGTTAGCTAATTTTGTCTGTGATTATTTTTTTCAACCAGGGAGGGGTTGATGGCCTACATGGAAGGAGAAGTAGAGTTTGTTTTGTTTTGTTTAAAAAAAGCAGCCATAAAAATTAGTAAAAGAATTCAAAACTAGTTAAACTCTCTTTGGGAAAAAGGTAGGTATGGTAGGAAGACCCCAAGGATGATACAAAGGACCAGTGAAGGATATTATATTATGCGGGAATGGATTATAGAGTATGACTTAGGAAAAGTAGTTTACCTGACTCTGCTTAGACAATGGGAACACTTTGCATATGATGAAACCTACACTGGGATTGAACAGAAAATCTTGGATTTGAAGCAAGAGAGGGGAAGAGAGAGTCTCAAGGAAAACAACAAATCAAGAAATCAATTTTCAGGCATACTAAGCAACAACCTTTTTCCTAGAAACAGGTAGCACAAATACTGAGCCTCTAAGCTACACAAGGACTAGGGAATATCTTCCTTTTGTATGTCAAAGAATAACTTAAAATCCTGAAAGTCAACAACATATATATATCAAAACTGCCAAGATGAAGCTGTTCTTACCCAAAAACACCAAGTTCCTATAGTTCTCCAGCATCACGTCCCTGTACAAGTTTTTCTGAGACAGGTTCAAATGTATCCACTCCTCCAAGGAGAATTCCACAGCCACATCCTGGAATGTCACTGATTCCTGAAACACCAAAATATTTGTGCTTACCAAGGTATAACTCTAATTGTTATAAAGTTTCAATATAACTTCCTTGTCAATAGGAATTGTTTCAGTTGCTTACGTGTAATCCAGTACAGTGACTAGTGCATAACAGGCACTTTAGAATTCCTCTCTCATCAGACATAAGTTCCTTGGGGGCAGTGGCCAGGTTTGCTTTCTTTGTATCTTCACAACTTAATACAGTGGATACTTATTGTTGGTAATGGATCCAAGGACATCAATTTTAAACGTGTGTGGGTTTTGTTTGCTTGTTTGTTTGTTTTTTGCTTTTTTCCTAGTGAACAGATTGTGTTCAATGCTCCTGTAACCACAAGAGCAAAGGTGAGCATGGGGAACTACCATCTCCTATTTGCAACACTGTGGAAAAATGTTTTACAGCTAAAAAGGATGTTAAAGGACCATTGTTTTCCACTTCATATATTTAGAACTGAAAGAGACTTGACAATCCAACTTTCTCATTTTACAAATTAGGGAAGTGAGGCCCAGAGAGAGAAAGTAACCTGCTAAAGGTCAAAAGGGAGTAAACTGCAGATCTGTACTTTGAACCCACGTTTTAACTCCAAACCCAGAGACATTTTCATTACCATGCTTCCATACCGTTTTTCTATAACCAGAACAAGACCACAGGTGAGTTTATACACAAAAACATTCATAAGAGCATGCTTTGGGGCAGCAAAGAACTGGAAACAATCTGAATTCTCATCAACAAAGAAGGATTACCAAAAGATGGCATATGGATTCAGTAGATTTATTACACAGTTTCAAATGACAAATATGAAGAATTTTGAATAGCAATGGAAATGTGAATTAACTGATGCAGTGTAAAATAAGCAGAGCATTATACACAGACTACAAAAAATATATCTTCTAAAAAGAAAAAGATGATGAATTCTGAGTAATTGGAAAAAAACTTTACTGTTTCTAACAGCAGACAAGATGGAGACCACTAGAGGAGTGAATGTTTTCTGAATTATCTGGAAGAGACACTATGGCATTTTTATGTAACTGTGTTTCTTTTCTATAAAGGAAGGTGAGGGAAAGAAAACTTTTTCCATGAATGACTGAGGCAAATACCAAAAAGCACTGTAGAAAAAAAAATAAAATAAAACAGCCTTTCCTAATCGCTCACTAAACAACTCATTAAAAAAAGTATTCTAGGAATGTGCCAGAATTGGAAGTCACTGGCCCAGGCTTTGCAGAATCCACTGTCTCTTTTTTCAAACTTGGCACAAGACCCCTCTCCAGTTCTGTGGCACCAACCCTATTTTCCAAGGACCTGTAGGGATACCTGAGAATGGCTAAGCAATCAAACACATGGCATACTTCTTTCAGAACAACTGGATCTTGTCTATATCCCTTTACCTTGGGTATCCACTTCTCGTTGCCAACCTGGGGGCTCTCAATCCCACTTCAAAGATCTTCATTTTCCAAAGAGAAAACTAAAGCCAAGCAAGAGATGACTTGTTTAGCTTTCTCTCAGGTATCCCTCCTTATGGTCATCCCATCCACCCCTAAACATGGTCCTCACTATTCTTTGATCTCTTGCTTGCCTCCAACCGAGTTTTTTTAATCTTTTTTTTTTTTTTGGTAACATTTATCATCAGAATCAGATCTTTGGGGCTTTGTTGTCTTCTACTGATTTTTTACCCTGTGCTACTCCTTTTTAATTCCTCTTCAGTTAAAGGTACTTAAAGCCATTTTTGTTATCATGATTAGTTAGGCTTCAAGTCAATCAGCTATTAACAATTACTGCTGAGGCTCACAAGCCTTCTGACACGGTCTGGTGTTCTTTTCTTTATATTTTGCCACCTCTTACTCTTTAATTAAATTCACTTTAATGTAGCACTTCCCCAAAATGTAGATTTGAATCAAGGAGTCTTTTATTTATATATATATATATATATATTTTTTTTTTTAGGCAATTGGGGTTAAGTGACTTTGCCCAGGGTCACACAGCTAGTAAGTGTTAAGTGTTTTGGTCTGAGTCCGGATTTGAACTCAGGTCCTCCTGACATCAGGGACAGGGCTCTATCCACTGCACCACCTAGCTGCCCCCAAGTCTTTTATTTAATTAATTTTAAACTTAAATACACAATAAGGAAAAAAAAAGAAACATAAACTTAAATACTAAAACTTAAATACAAAAAAAGAAAAAACATTGTCAAGTACACAGCAGAATGTAAGACAGCATTCAAAATATAGAGCAATAAATTTCCATTTCAAGAAAGCCTATATAATAAACATTGCACATTGTGTTGAGAGCTGTCCATCTTTTCTATGCTTCCTTGTAAGTTTCTTTTGTTCTCTGCTGTGCACTTTTTACTTTGTTCTCCCCCACCCCCCAGCTTCCTCCTGCCCTCCTCAATAAAGCTACAATTTAGCTCGGAGATGTGTGTATACATATATGTATATGCATGTATGTATATACAGGTATGTGTGGGTATACACATGTGTGTATGTATACCTATGTATACATGCGCACACATATACACAGTCACCGACATATATACATACATGCATATATACACATTTAGATATCTATAATCATACTCATATACAGACATATATATTCATATATATCTATGTAAGACCATAATATACTTGTTTGTCCTCTATTTCTCTGAGGGTGGATAATATCTTCTTTGATAAGTTTTAGACTTTCCATATTTTTCTAAGTCCATCAACTCATCACTTCCCACATAACAGCAATATTCTAACCTTATACCGTCTAGTTATTTTAAATAGTCTAAAACAATATTGATTAATATGGCTGACATAGTGTAGTTTCCCTATTTTTCTCTTTTGATTAAATCTATTTTAGCTTTTACTTTGTCTGAGATCATGATTACTACTGCTTTTTTTTTCCTAATAAATTCTACTCCTAATCTTTATTTTATGTTTGTGTGTATCTCTTATTTCCTATCCCTCCTGACTCTTCTACTTTACTTCTACCTGGTACCATGCCCACTATTACTAAACCTATCTGAATGCCACTTATCCTCTCCCCCAAGCTTGAAATCCCTCCCTTATCCTCTTCCCCCTCCCTATACCCTTCATCTTTTATTTCTTTCTGGAATTAGAAGTCAACACTTCTGTTCAATATTTTACAAAAAATGCTAACTATAGTAATAACACAAGAAAAAAGAAACTCAAGAAATAAGACAAAATACAATATAAGACCCTCATACTTTGCAGATGCTTTGATGGTTAAAATAGTCAAGAACTTTACCAAAGTTGCATGACATAAAATAAACTCACACAAACCATCAGCATTTCTATATATTACTGACAAAACCCAGGAAGGAGAGAAAGAGACATTCCATTTAAAATAACCACAGACACGCAAAGCCTACCTGCCCAGACCCACCCAGGAATTATAGGAATATAAATTACAAGATACTTTTCACACAAATAAAGAGATATCTGAACAATTAAGAGAAATACTAATTGCTCCTGGGTAAGCTGAGCCAGCGTAAGGAAAATGACAATTCTACCTAAATTAATATACTTATTTGGTGCCATATAAATCAAACTAATAGAAATTTTTTATAGAAAAATATTAAACATTATCAGGATAAACAAAAGGGCAAGAATATCAAGGGAATCAAACAAAAGACATCTGAAGGAAGGGAACCTAACGTAACAGATTTCAAACTATATTAAAAGGAGTAATCATCAAAACCATCTGGGAAGGGCTAAGAAAATCAATGACTGATCAATGGAATAGATTGGGTATATAATATACAGAAGTAATGACCATAATAATTTAGTGTTGGATAAATTCAAACATTCAAGGTTTTCAGGTAAGAACTCCCCATTTCACAAAAATTGCTGGTAAAACTGCAAAGCAGTCTGGCAAAAACCAGGCACGGACCAACATCTCAAGTCATATGCCAAGGTAAGGTCAAAATGAGTACATGATTTAGAAATAAAGGGTGGTATCATAAGCAAAGCAGGCAAGCATCGGAAAAATGTACCTGCTAGGTCTGTGGAAAAGAGAAGGATTTATGACCAAACAAGAGATAGAAAGGATCACAGGAGGTAACATGCACAATCTTGATTAAATGAAATTTAAACATTTTTACAAAAACAAAACCAAAGCAACCAAAATAAGAAGGCAATCAGGAAAATGGAAAAAGTTTCTACAGCAAAGTTTCTCTGATAAAGGATTCATTTCTCAAATACATAGGAAACTGAACCAAATACATAAATTTAAGATCCATTTACCAATGGAAAAATAGGCAAAGGTTATGAAGAGGCAGTTTTCAGAAGTTAAAGCCATAAATAGTCATATGAAAAAAATGCTCTAAATCACCAATAATCAGAGAAATGCAAATTAAAACAATTCTGAGATACCACTTCACACTTCTTAGATTGCCTAACAAGACAGAAAAGGAAAATAATAAATGCTAGAAGGGATGTGGAAAAATAGGGACGCTAATGCACTATTAGTGGCTTTGTGAACCGTTCCAACCATTCTTGGAACACAATTTGGAACTACACCAAAAAGGCTATAAAACTCTGTACACCCTTTTACCTAGCAATCCCTCTAACTAGGTCTTTATCTCAAGAGATCAAAGACAAAGGGAAAGGACCTACATGCACAAAAACATTTAGAGCAGCTTCATTTGTGGTGGCAAAGAATTAGAAATTGAGCAGATGTGAGGGAATCATTTTAATATTGCAGGGAAGAACTCCTAGGACTTTGGGTAATTTCAGGAACCCATACCCTTCTGAAATAGTGAGTGAAACTTGAGGGAATTCAGGGGATTAGGACAGCACATGGCTTACTGTAGTAATTGAGTGAACCACACTGACACCATCCTGTGACTCAATTCTGGAGCTAGCTTAGTTTCTATTCAACTTTAGGTCTGTCTAGTTCAATTGCTATCTTGCGAGAAAACTTTATTCAGTTGTGGCAATTGGAAAACCTTAGTGCATTGTCTGACCCTAGCCCCTCGTAGCTGGGAAACTGGAGGACCTCTCCCTGCTGTGCAGAGCCCCTTAACAAAGGACCCACATTATGCTGACCAGAAACCCAGTCAGATCCAAAGGCTGATGTAAGGAGTTTCTCACAACTGGTGTATCCCAAGCAATTCCTATCTCTTATGTAAAAACTGATCAATCAGTTACTGTTTCCATGTTACTTTGTTTACAAACACTTGGGGGGAGTGGACTACTACTCTTTTTCTGATTTCAGGGCACTGTACCTGTTCACTATTCCCTTCTCAACTTGGAAAGTCCCTAATCTTTCACCCGATTAGAAATCAGATCACCTCATGGTATGTTTCCTTTTAATTAGCTGACCTTATTTGATTAACTATTTTTAAAAGTCTGTTTCCCCCTGTATTTTGGGTCCAGGCCTAAAGTGAAGAGGCCTAGTGCCGATGTGTTGAAAAACTGACATGCACCACTTTATTAATTGCTATATTCAGAAGATCAAACCTTTGTTTCCTTGGTCATTTCATCTTTCACCCACCACAAATACCAATCAACTGGGGAACAGCTGAATAAGGACTGTGGTATGATTATTACTATTGTATACTAAAGATGGAATCCTAATAAAGCTACCCTCAGCCCCAATATCCTAACTGCCTCATGGGCCTCACTGAACAGCAGGCATGCCCTGATTTGACCACACAATCTGGCTTTAACCACATCACAGGCCCCCATGCTCAATCATAGGCCTCACTAAACAGCAGGCCCACTGCCACTACCTACCAACTGCCCCCAGACTCAGTATAGCCCACTGTCTCTAGCCAGAACTTGCTCCCAGATCAAATTCTCATATTTCCCATAGAAACAGCAGGTGTGTCCACACACTCAACCACAACCACAACATCCACTTAGCCCAAGACAGGAACATGATGGCCAGCCAATCAGAAAGCAGCACCACTAGGATGTAGACCAGGATGCTTGACCACCAAACCACAGAAGGGGCTTCCACTAAGATGGCGCCTGCACAGTAATAGCAAAGAACTGACTGAGAGTAAATTTATGCTGTAGAGAAGCTTATTATAATGTCATTACCATATAATAACGCCCCCCAAAAGTGTTTTTCTGTATGCATTGTGGGTAATTGCACATGCAGTTCCACCAAGACTGGGACCCCTCTCCTGTTATTTAATTGCTTAAGAAACCGCTCTTGCCTTTTATTTTATTTTAATATTTTTTTGTAAGACAACTGGGGTTAAGTGACTTGTGCAGCGTCACACAGCTAGTGTCAAGCATCTATTTAATCCTGGGACTGGATTTGAACTCAAGTCCTCCTGACTCCAGGGCTGGTGCTTTATCCATTGCACTACCGAGCTGCCCCCTTGCCTTTTAATATTAATGTTTGTACGTTCTGTGTAAATTCTGATAGTGTAATCAGCATCATAAACTATCAAACTGCCTGTCTGGCTTTACTGAAATTGCTACCTCCTCTAAAGAACTTAGCCTCTCCCTGGAGTGTGAAACCTCAAAACCACAAGGAATCTCTTTGCTTGGCTGGAGACTGAGTCTTTGAATTCTTTGAGACAGAACTGCCCCAACACAACCCAATGTCATCATTAAAAAATGATAAGTGGTGTAGGTTCAGAAACACTTGAGAATACTTTGATAAACTGAGGCAAAGTGAAATGAGTAGACTCAGAACACTGTGGCCAGTAAAGCCAATATTGTAACAATGATCAACTGTGAAAGACTTGGCTACTTTGTTCAATATAATAATGCATGAAAAGTCCAAAGGATTCAAGATGAAAAATGAAGAGAGAACTGATGAACTCTAAAGACAGAATTCCTTTTTTTTCACTTTTTAAAATTCTAATGCCTTTTTAATTCTTTTTGCAATGTGGCTAATATAGAAATATTTTCTCCATCTTCACATGTAAAATGGATATCTTACTGCTTGCCTTGTCAATGGGTGGGGAAGGAGCTGAAGGAAAGAATCTGTATTCCAAAATTTAAAAATGAATGTAAATTTTAGGGTAGGTGGTGTTGGATAAATAGATTATAATCTATGATATCCTTTAGCTCTAAATATGATTCTCTGATGCCCACAATTCCTAGTGTTATAGCACAAGACAAAGAAACCTATCCCAGGGTCTCTGGCTTGAAATGCTATTTCAGGAAAGCTGCAAGTGGCACTCACCTTCCCCAGCCTGGCTGTCAGGGCAGGAGCCATTCCCTCTCCCTCCAGGCTGTCCTCCTGGGGCA